GCTCAGCTGGTGCTAATTATTCCTGTGTGTTCAATAGGCCTTCCTCTTCTGTCTCCTCCAGTGTTCAGCTGCCCAGCCTCAAAATCAGCTCCAGAGGATTGGGCACACTTTGGAGTAGACTCTGAGAGCATGCAGTGGAGAAGGAGAGGGAAGTCCTACTGTACCAGCAGAATCCCACCAGCACAGTACTAGACACAACCCCTTAGCTTTGAACATTAAGTAAATTTAAAGCAACAAACCTTTATTCATCACCATGACCTCCTTGGAGAAAGCATCAGATACACATTTGATAAAAACAAAGGCAAAAGCAAAGTAGCTTCTTGGTGTTTTCTGACACCACCAAAAAATAGTTGGCTTTCTTCCCTTTTCTTTGCAAGCCTTTGCCCCAAGTTGACAGAATTAAAATTTGAATTCATGCAATTATATGGAAAATATTTATAAGTTAAATGTTGTCTGGGATTGTTTTCCAACAGCAAGAGGCCAAGAATCAAAAATTCAGCACAGCTTGCAAACCCTCTTCACCAGGCCATAATAATAAAATGTTACATCAGTAGAAAACAAGCAAATCTTCCCAATGCATTTCAATCAAACCCCCATAATACACTGAAGAGTTTTACTAGAGGAATCTTTTCCATATTGTAATTTGCCTTTTGAAAGATGTTTAACTTAGGCCTGCATCATATCGGAATAGAAAAATATTCTCAAATGTCAATACCTCTCTTCAGTGACTCAGTCTATGTTCCCCTATTTACAATTAGGTCATAAAACACTAATCAAAAGCCAAACTCTATTACATTTTTTTCCTTTCCGACTTCAACAGCCAGGAGGGCCCCAGAACACATTGCACTTAAATCGCACCTTCCATCCCAGGAGATGAGCATTCATTTATGCTAAGCCACATCTAATGCCTTTGAGAGCTATATAAATTATACAAATAGAGAATAAGTAATTTACTTGTTTGGAGAAGTAAAACATTTTTCAAAATGCCACTGCTACCACTGATTCATCACAGATACAATTTTTCTATTTTTAAATGGAAAAAACCTCAGTCCCAAATAATCTAAACTCAGGAGACAGATTGGATGAAACTAATGTTAGCTGCACAGAGAGCTAAGAAAAAAACCTATTACTATGGCTAGGACCCATTTACACAACCAAATTAGCATGCTGAGCAATACAGAGGATTTGTTTTGTTTTTTGTGCTTAAAGAGCAGGACAACAGTCTGTACATTTGCCCATGTTGTTGACCTGACTATCAGATCCTGCCATCACAGCAAGGTTACTAAGAATAGGAACATAAACTGGTAATGACTGGAAAGGCTGCATCTTCCAAGGTGTGCTATGATTTCGAGGGTGAGAGCAACCACTGGAACCCAAGGAAGCAAAGGATAACCCCCAATTGTACTCCCTATAGGCTCTTTCACTCCTTGTGATCTCACCTGTGAGAGAGTGGGTGCTTTGTGTTGGCAGGGACAAGACAGTCCTCTGTCATCAGATCAAAAGCAGAAACTCAAGGATCTATCCTTAAAGCACCCACGACAGCTCCTGGAACATTCCACCTGTTTGATACTCACTGCCATCACCAATCTTTTATTCTTATTGGCCACTAAACCCCTGACCCAAGCTGAGGCTTTCAGAATGCATTCACTGCCTGCTCCTTAAAATTTTTAGAAACATGTGGAAATTAGGACTTGCGAAAGAACTTACAAGTGCAAGTTCTGCGGTGTCCAAGATTATGCCCTACATTACTGGGGAGTCCCGCTGGATAGGCTCCTCCAGTTCTAACTGAATGCATACAACAGCACTGGTTATTTAAAACTGTAGTAAGGACAGATCTGGAAAGTTGGATCTAGGGCATTTTGAACTTGCTAGTGTAGCACTTTCAACCCGTGCCTAGTGATGTAAGGTGAGAATATTTTCCAGAATGAGAATATTCTCGAGAATATTCTCTACTAGAAAATTCTCTAGAGAATATTTTCCACAAACTGTAAATTCTAATGTAAGAACCAGTTTTACAACCCACATTTTAAAAATCTAGTAAATAATAAGTCAAGCTGTGATATTGCCAGTGTAAGTAATGTATAATGGTTTTTTTGATCTAGTTATGTTACTGGGCATTGTGTCATTCACCATTGGCAGTTCTGAAATGTGAGCTACATTTTTTTTATTTTTTAGTTTTGCTAAAAATTTAATTTAATTTGATGAACATTTGAATTTATATGTATTTCAACTGTATGTAATAGCCTTTTTTCTATTTTGGTGTGACCTTATTCTTAGCAATTCTATACCCTTGGCCATACAGTGTGATATTTTTTTAAAAAGAAAATAGCTTTAATGCTTTATACACTTAAAGTACCTAGGTCTATACAATTATGTGTAACAGCATGTGAGGTGGCCTTGATTTAAACAGTTGACGTTTCTATATTTTTATTTAGTGCCAGTAACTGGTTTTTGCAGTGCCATTCAATGGTACAAGGTACCATTTACCAGAGATTGACATACTGAAATATATTATCATATAATGATAATATATTCAATGTTAAGGACTTCTTTTTTATATGTATACACAAAGTTTTCCTTTAGTCACTAAACAGTTATTGTTAGAGCTATTAGAAGCACAAGATAGCCTGTTACTGAATTTATTTGTATCAAACCTCAACATGCCAATTGTATTGTTTGACTTGTCCTATAACATGTACATGTTCTAACGGAAAAATAAAATATGATTTAACTACTGAGTTTCCTTATACCAAACCTTAACATGATCATTACTGGTGCCATCACCAGTGAATATTCTCCTATTTTAAATGAAAATTCTCTAATATTCTCATTAATTGAGAATATTCTCGAGAATATTCTCCAAAAGATTACAGTGGTGCCTCGCAAGACGAAATTAATCCGTTCCGTGAGTCTCTTCATCTTGCGGTTTTTTCGTCTTGCGAAGCACGGCTATTAGCGGCTTAGCGGCTATTAACAGCTTAGCGGCTTTAAGAAAAAGGAAACAAACTCGCAAGACGTTTCGTCTTGCGAAGCAAGCCCATAGGGAAATTCGTCTTGCGGAACGACTCAAAAAACGGAAAACCCTTTCGTCTAGCGAGTTTTTCGTCTTGCGAGGCATTCGTCTTGCGGGGCACCACTGTATTCTCAAGAATTTAACATCACTACCCATGCCCATGTCACACAAGCAGGAGAAGGGCTCCAAGCAATCTGTAGCACTTTTCCTTTCTATGGCGAGCTATCTGCAGAGCTGATGCCTAGTGTCTCATCAGTTTTATTTTCTGCATATTCTCTCTCGTTCCACACATATTTTCTTTTGAACGCGAGGGAAGATCATGAGGGAGAACATGTTGTTTCTTTGGAGGTGAGAAACACAGTATGTGAGGAAGGCCCTCCCAGCTGTCACCTTTGATCCGTACCCTGTCATTCTAGAGGGATTTGCCACCTACTTCACCAGGTCATTATCCTGTTCCTGATGGGAGAAATACACACCTAAAAGATATTGACAGAACTGGGCAGTCAGTGATGCAGTCATGTGACTACTTCACCACAGGCCTAACAGAATTCACATTTATCACATTGCTGCAAAGTTACCAAAGAGGCTTGAACACTTATTTAATGAAGCACTCATATGATCGCTTCCAGAACACCAGATTCTTATCATGCCATCTTGAAGGTGTGAAGAGGTCTGCAATCCATGTAAAGCTTCCTAAATCTATACATGTCTGGCTAGTACATTTCTTGGGCAGAAAGGAAAATGAGTCTCTAAGGATAGATTCAGGCAACTCATTTCTCTGGGTGATAAGCTCACCCCAGGCAAAACATACAACAACTGATATTTCCCACACATTCTCACAAAGACTTCTCCCAGGGAGGGTCAGTGTTTAAACAGAAGCTTAAACATAAGTTTAAACATACGCTTCCAATTATTACAAAAGCATGCAATAGTTAAACCCAAAACCTACAGTCATGAAAAGCTACCTTAAGTTGTCAAACATGACTATAATGTTTACACACAAAGTACATTTTTAAAGTTGAAAAAGTGGACTTCCAAATAATATGTGTTAAAGAGATATGTGTTTTTTCAAGACCACAGCTGCTGAACAGAGATAAAAAGAAGCAAGCCCCTACTCACAGGCTTCCAATCTACACTTGTTTTGCAAACATGGCAATGCAAATGTTCAAAATAATATATTACTTTTTATATCTCATTTGTTGGCAAACAGCAGCATTTCAGTTTGAACACAGTGTGGGAGTGGGCCTGAGTCTCCAAATAATAAAAAAAACTGCAAGGGAATTTTGTATTCCAAAATTGTCTCCCTTCCCCACTACTTGGAAAAAGCTACTGTACCCTTTGTATCATGGCCACATCACTGTCTACTTTATGAACCATTGACAAAAGCTCTCACAAACCACTATTTAGGAAGCAGTTGCTTAAATTACCCTTTGTACTGCATGTTAGTACTCCACAGGAGTGGGTATCAAAACACAACATGCACAATAGGTCAACTTTTCCTAGGTGTTAACTTAAGGGGTCTGCTTACACATAAGCAGTGTATAGAAAAACAGGAGTATTATGAACCCCATTCATGATATGCATAAGAAAATGGTGACATAAGCTTGACAAGCAGCCTCAAATCAAACTTTGATCCCCTTATTACAACCTGAAGACTTGACAACATTTACAACTGATGTGGCAAATATTTACTTCAACACTTTAAACCAAAAAATCATTTAATTTGTTTGGGTTTGGAGGTAGAAATGTATTACTGCATGCTGTGTGATCAGCTGTAAAGCCTTGGGATGCCTTACTGCTGTTCACCTATTGAAATCTGTTTGATTTTAGCAAAGCTTTTTCATATTAGCTCTCTACCCAACTGATATGCAAATCACCTTTGTTATTTAAAGTGTCATATGCATGTGTGTGTGTGTGTGTGTGTGTGTGTGTTTAAATAAACTCATAAACCTGGTGTGATACAAGCACAACAAAAAGGAGCACTTACTGCCATTGTCATCAGAATCCTCACTGCTGCTGGGAAGTCGACCTCGTTTCATGATCTTCCCGGGTAACAGCAGGCAGCCTGTGAAGAAATGCAACAAAAACCAGAAGTTATCAAGTTCTGAATCAAAGAGCTCACAAATGAAAGCAAGTGCCATTAAGTAGCATAAATAAAAGCAGCAAACATCCTGAAGATGTTCAGTTTAGAATGCATCCCATGGGACAGCCAAAAAGAATATCTAAGTTGATTGACAGGGGCCGTCCCTACAATTAGACAGAGCGCAGCAGCTGCCCTAAGCAACATGCTGGGGAGTGGTAGCAAAACCTTGGAGGACAGAGGTTTGCCCTGTACAGGCTTGCCCTGTACCGCCACCTAAGCTAGCCTCCTGCCTTCAGGTACAGTTGAAGACAATATCCAATCACCAGTTTTGAAAAATAAAACTGCTAGCCCAGCTGACTTCTGGGCATGGACTAGGAATGGGGCACCATACTGTCCTTTGCCTCAGGAAGCAGAATGTCCTGGGCCAACATTGTTGATGGAATCCTCAAGCCAAGCTCACCCCAAGAAGATGTAAGATCTTTTTTATGGCTTTGATATTAGCAAATTTAAAGCAACTGCAACAGAGCATATACTTTGTCCCTATTTAGCCAATATTTATATTGTACAGCACATTTATGAAAAGGTTTTATAGTCGTAGGAGGCATCAAAACAGCAAGACTAATTACAAAGGTCACTGCATCCCTCAACTGAGCAAGCAGTATGCATAGAAATGTTCCCACACTAGCCAATCACTAAGCTCCTATGACAACACAGAAACAAAGACTGTAACTGAACAGTATACCAAACAGAGACTGGATTCACAATGAGCTAACATTTCCTGAGTGGGGATGTGCATGTGAAGATGTGTTGTGGGAGGCTAATCCATAATGCATTAAGACCATAGATACATAAGTTGAGCAAATTATCAACACTACGTTCATGCTGGCCACAATCCTAATCCATGTTGAGCCTTTCACATAATTTAGTCCCATGTGGCTCCCCATGGCAATAAGTAATTTCATGGCAGAAAGAACAATGCAAGAATCTACCCCCCTGAGACACAGAAAAAAGGATATCAAAACTTCTCTCAGTAACGGTACTGCTGCTGTGCGATCTGCTCCCAAATCCTTAGGTTGTTCTGATTTGCAATTCAGGATTTGTTAAAAAGTCAAAGCAGCAAGGCAAGTGGAGAAGTCATCTACACATTTATTCTTTCTTATGGCTGCACTTGCTGTATTTATTCTGACAGCTATCAGGAATTCCCAGTTTCTATCCTTCACTGAAATAGCCATCAGTAATAAAGATAGGGATTTGTAAAGCCAAAGCATGGGTAATTTTTTAAAAAAAATATAACGTAAGAAAACATTTGGTCTCTGTTTCTCACTTCCACATTTAGGAGGACACTGCTTAAGGATCTTTTCTGCACATGTGGTAGCAACATCCTATCCATGAACAACACTTTCAGCATTCAGAAGGAGTCAGAATATAGACAAATTTTATAAATGTTTATTTGGCTACCAATGAGTTTGGCAAGGGTACTTACGCAGCCTCTCCCTGATAATGACTGAAAACATCAGCACCTGTGTTGGCTTAGCAGCCTGGCCTTATAAACGTTCCAAAACATGTCTAGATCATGACTAACCATTTTCTTAAAAATAATTGAAAAGCTAATAGAACCAGACTGTGGGCTAGTCTCATCCTGGACATGTGCTGGAACATTCATGAAGCTGGTTAAAATGACAAAAACCTACTAAATCTGTCCAATGTGTGCTGACATCAGCACACTTAAATGACTACATGAATAAGCCCCGAGAAGTGAAAAACTCTTTATCCTAATAGGTCCCTTCAGCAGAGATGATGCTCCAAAGCATTACATTATGCAATAAATGCAGACTCTCAGTTACAACATAAAAATAGCCAGTGAGTATCCAAGTGCTAAAAGGCCAGGAAAGGGGGGTGACGGGGAGCTAAAAAAGCGGAAACAACGTGACACAACAAGTGAAGCAAAGCATGTTCAGCGTGAATTAAAGTGACAAGTACTCTAGGACATGCATCAAATCTCATGAGGCTTAGTTTGCCATGTTTCAGTTCCAATGACAATGTGGGCTGGCCAAGCCATTAGCAGCAAAATCCCAAGGCACGCCTTCCAGGTGCAGTTTCAGGAATCAGCTGCCAAGCTGATTTGCTTCTAGTTTGGTGCTCAGACACTGAACTGATTAGATGTCATACGAACAGCAACTTCTAATAAGCTGCTCCACTGGCATTTACAACACGGACATCTAGCCAAGTGAAATGTAGAAAGTATGTCTAATTGTAATGGATGTTAAAAAGAGCAATATGCTCTTAGATTACAAACCCTTAACAGAGAAGCTGGACTCATAAGACAGAAACCACACTAGAACCCATGGGCCATTTCCCATGGAGTAAACATCACTATAAGCAATCATAGTCCCATTATCTTTAACTCTTAGTTACACTTGTGCTTGCTGCTATGTAACTCCAGGTAAATAGAAATCCCTATTATCAGAAAGTCTGGATATTCAAATATTTGGATGCTGCACAAGCTATAGAGGCAGATAAGGTTAAATTATACAAACTGAATAAAGACCTCACTAAAGACAGTTAATCAGAGGTAGAACTGAGTAGATTTTGTCCAAAGTATGCTAGCCATTTCAGTCTCTTGGAATTGAAATAATGTGTCTCAATGCTATGGACCTAAAGCGTGAAAAAACAGAAATCTACAACCCTTGTTTAACTCATCCACAGATGGTTAAGCACAGGATGCAACCAACGACAAAGGCAGACAAAACATTGCAAGCTGTATCAAAAATTTAGGGAGTAGCTATGTCCCACTTCTGGGAAAGATTGAAGCATAACATTCTACTGATGAACAGCTCCATTTTCAAAAGGATTGTTAAGCCCTTTCAACCAGGTGGTACAAAAAACAAATACTGCAGCTAGCATTCACAGAACAGCCAGCTACTGTACATATCTGACCTCCAGCTGTTTTGTAAATATCTAAATTCCAGTAAAAGGTTCTCACGCACAACGTATTAGTAGGTTGCCAACCTTCACAAAGATAATTTACATATGATTATATTAAACGAAAAACCTAAACATCACCTCTCAACTTGCAATATTCAAGGCCCATTGCTCAGTGGCAGAGCACACTCCCTACAAGGAAAAGGTCCCAGCTAGGGCTGAGAATGACTTCTTGCTGCCAGCCGCCAAAGACACTGGACAGTACAGAGCTATAGAGACCAACAGCCTGACTCAATGCAGGGCAGCTTCTTAAGTGCAGGCCTAATAACTACTGTCTCATGGAAGGGCCGTAGCTTGTGGATACTGTACCTGCTTTGCATGCAGAAGGTCCCAGGTTCAACCACTGGCATCTCCAGGTTGGGTTATGAGGATCTCCTGCCTGCAACCTTAGAAAGCCTCTGCCAATCAGCACAGCCCACACTGAGCTAGATGGACCAATGGTCTGATTCAGTATAAGCCAGTTTCCTATAGTAGCCACTAAGATTTCAGTTTCAACCAAGTGAAGCACTGCATTACTCCAAAAGTCTGTAATGCCCTTGTCTGAGATATCATATCTACAGAATGACTTCTGCTTAAGTCAGATGTGCAGAAAGGCATTGGCCGGACATGCATCCTAGCCAATGATGACAGAATTTCTTAATATAAATTGCTCTGCTTTGAGCTGGTTTGTCTTAACATAAAAAAGTTTTTGTTTGTTTGTTTCAGACATGTTAAATTCTAATGACAAGAACAAGCAAATGAATGTCACCCACAGAGAAGGTGGGGATGAATAAACCACTGAATACTAGTCCCAATGTTTCTTTTTTAAAAAAAACTCTCTTCCTATGGAAAGTTAGCATGTCAAGTAGGTTAAAGTCTAGAGTACTCCTTGGTTTGTTTGTTGTACACGCAGAGATTTTTAAGTTGGAAAATATTTGTTGCGTAGCCAGCAGTCTGAAGTGGTGCAATACAAGGAAGATTTCTGAATGGGTAATTCAGCTCCCACTGAGCATTTTGAAGATGTTAAATTTTGCATTAGTGCCAAGTTACTGAACTAAGTGCAAAGTGCTAGTTTTGGTGTATAAAGCCCTCTACAACTTGGGAGCCAGATACTTTAAAGACTGCCTTATCCTTTATATATGCACTCGATCACTGCACTCTGCAGGTGAGGGCTGATTGCTGATACCGTTTTTATCAGAAGGCTCATTCTGTTTCACACAATATAGGAAGAGGCTTTAGTGTTGTGGCACCTACCCTTTGGAATTTCCTCCCATTAAATATGAGACAGACACAAACTCTATTGTCTCTTTAACACCTTCTGAAGACCTTCCTCTTCCCACAAGCCTTTTAAGTAGATATCTTTCCAAATCTGTATCTGCATTGGAATAGTTTTTAGATGTCTTATGGTAGGTCTATTAGATGCCCTCAGCTTCTTTGGGAAGGATGGGATGCAAATGTAAGAAATAAATCAAGTATTATTAAATAACTGATAGTGTGCACTGTAAGAATTTGGGAAGCCTTTGCTGAACCATCCATCATGTATGATGAGTAGACCAAACTTGGGTTCAGATAGACCAACTGAGTAAAAGATCAAACAATTCAACAACAATAGTCCAAAACTGTTGCAGGAGTCTGCTATTAAAATTCTCTAGGCTCCTATTCATAGATTTCCCCATTAGATCAGGAGTATTAAGAAAAAAGGGTTTTAACATTTTCTCTGGAGAGTTCCACCTGCTTCCAAGATTGCCAAACATGATGAATAAATAGAAGTGTTTCTTATTTTTTAGAAACAAGTAATTGCAAGCTCAAGAACAAGCTACCTAAACATTTTATCTTTATCACTTAAAAGAGTCAGCATGGATTTTGCAAAGCAAAACTAGAACTCAGAAATAAGGTAGGTAAGAATGAGCCAGTCTATGCTGTGTATTTTAACTTTCAAAAAATTGCTGACACCTTAGCATGGAAAAATAGTTGAAATCCCTAGGCTCTGGAATCAAGTTTCAGTTACCCCTGCATATGGG